ATTTGAAGTTAAACTTGAAATATGAGTCAAGTGGCTTGGTTTTTATATAGAATGTGCATTGCATAGGGTCATAGTATTGAGTTGCTGAATATTCGCAACGTATCGAAATATTTTGTTTACCTGTTGCGCTGCCAATCAGCTGTTTGCGTGCGCTACGAACGGCAAAAGTGGGACAAGGACAATTATTGAATTTGTCGGGCACAAACTTTTATATTGATGACCCCAGTTGTATAAACTGCGTAGCATTGTTTTGTATATTTTGCACACGTTGCTGGTGCGGTCAATACATATGCATGTAAATATATATTAGGTTTTGTTTTTTAATTAGCAGATGTGTCAGCGCGCACTTTTAATGGCTATGTAAACAAAGTTAACGGTAAAAAGCTTTTGCATTATGGTATCGAAACCGAAAGATAATTTTTGTATTAGTTTCTAGTTTTATTATTCATTTGGTGTTCAATATATCGAATTTTACATACACTTAAAGATATATACACGTAAATAGCAAAACGAACAGTTAGAAAATTAGCTCGATTCTAATAAAGGAAATTCTGTTTGTACACAAAAAGTCTATTGCAGCAGCAAATCAGTTTCGCTGGCATTGGCTGACATCAGATCCCGTTCGAGGCTTGTCGTAGCATTTGCCTGATTCAAAAATAAGTCAAAATCGTACCCATCATTCTGTGCCGAAATGGAATCCGTTTGATTGCTAATAGTTTGCGGATTGGAAAGCAAATCCACATCGTGTAAACCCAGCTCCTTGAGCAGGGATTCGTTGTCGTTGGCATTGGACGCAGTTGTGGGTTCTTTTAGTTCCAAATTGATAATGGGCGCCGGCTGCTCGACTGCTTCCCTGCCGTATGTTACTTTATGGGAACGTGTTGTTGAATTCTCTTCAATTTCATCATCATCCAGCTCCTGGGGCTTGAGCGTACTCGATTTGTATTGAAAATCCGTTTCCTTAAAGTCCACTTCGATGGGGAAGAGAGGAGGTAGAGAGTCCAGACGTGCCACCAAGCTTCTGTGCAGTTCGGCCAAACTATCGAGCAGGCTGCGCAACTGCTTATTCAAGTCCATGGCATGCTTGCACTCCAGCAGCTCCATTTTCTCGAGCACATCGGTGCGCAGCTTGGCGAACTTGCTGCGCGCATCCTGGCGACAGCGCAGGATTAAACGATATTCATAGTTGCCCGTCTCGACGCGATAGAGCGGCTCCTGCAACGCGGCAAAGCCATGCTCCTCATCATCCATCTCCTTGACCTTCAGGCAATAGGAGAGATAGGTGAACTTCGCATCCGCGTAACGTCGCACGGTTAATTTTGTGTCAGGTATGGCCTTATTCAGATACGTGCCCAGATCTGCGAGCACGGGTTTAATTTGCTTAATGATAGCCAATCCGTCCTTTTCCAGCGAGCGATGAAATTCGCCAAAAGTACGAAATGCTTCGCTGGCACGCTGCTGCGGCTCATGTGCCGAGATCTGGGTAAAGCAATCGCCAAAGCTCTTGTATGTCTGCAATAGATCGTAATAGGCCTTCAGCATGCGCCGCGCATGCTCCACCAGTCCTTTGTACATCAGCTCTGTGCCCTCCAGCTCCTCTAGTCTCTTGACCAGCGAATCATTGCATAGTATAGCCCTCGATAGACCCAGCGTGTCAGCCGTATTGCTCGACAAATTGTCCACAATGCGATGCTTCAGTTTCTTCAGGATTATATCCAGCGTTTTGCCCTGTTCCGGATCTGCGTGCAGCTTGTTATAGTGAATGGTCACCTCATCCGTAGCCGTTTGAATCATCTTGGCCACCTCCACCTTGGTTTTGCCCTTAACGCTCACCGAATTGACGGCGAGCAATTCATCACCTGATTGCAGGGAGCCCTCACGGGCAGCGGGAGTGCCATCAAAGACCTGGAATGGAGAAGAAAATTATTAATAAATAAAATCGTATTATATGTAATATATACCCTAAAATAGACTTTGGTTTTATGGGAAAAAATTAAATTTAAATTAATTAAAGAAAACTAATGTAGGAATATTTAAAGCAAAAATGTATAAATTTATATGAAAATCTATATATACAGCTAAAATAATTGATGTTTAAAAGAGTTACAAACTTAGATTATATCTTAAGACCAAAATTATGTCCTTCACATAGCAAAACATAAACATGTTCAAAATCTTAGAACAAGATAGCTTAATTTTTGGAAAACCTTTTTGACAGATGTGCTTTGATCTGGAATTCATTTTCGATATTTTAATTTTGTAGCAATTCGGTAAAAAAAAAAAAAAAAAAATTATTGTGCGAATAAAATTAAAATGTAATGTAAAGGTGTTTAGTGAAAACTCAGTTAAGCGAAATTCCGTTTTTTTGAAATTTGTTTGAGACGAGAACCTGTCGGAACGATACCCAGAGACCATGACGTTTTCCCATTGGTATAGGGACAGAGAGGTTGAATCGCAGCAGGAGAAGCCGAAATCGAAACTGGTGAACCGCGTGCAACGGTTGGACGCGCGCTTGCAATCCATAGTATTGGAGAATAATACGAACAGGTTGTTGCGGCAGCAGGCGGGATTGGATAAGGCGAGGATGAATTCGAAAAAGAAGAAGAAGACGCTGCGCGGATCGCCAAAGGTGTGCAGCATACAGCACGTGTACGACCGCAATCGGCAGCAGGAGCTGCGTCAGTTGCAGCAGGAGCAGAGCCGGCAATGCCAGTTCCATAGCCATGCGGTGCCTAATTTCAAGTTGATGCACAAACGCTGGGAAATACGAAATCGAATGCGTCAGTTGAAGTGCTTGTACAACTTGACCAAACCGCAAACGCCACACACACTAAAGAAATCTATGGAGGCGGCCAAACGTTGGCAGACGGAACGGGCGAATCTGGAGCAACAGATAATGAGTGAGGTGACGCTGCGGCCGCAGTTGAGCCAAGCCTCGAAGAACTGGCGCCAGCCTCCGTTCGTGCCGCGCATCTTATCGAGCATTGTGAAGACTGAACCGTTCCATCTGAAGTCCGTGGAACGGGGCAAGCTGCGCAAACAGTTCGATTTGTGGAACCGGCGGGAGCAGGAGACGCGCTGGCAACGAAAGGCGATCGAGTGGGCGCAGCGCTGCCACGACGAATATGTGCAGGCCCGCAAATTAACCAATTTCAAGGCTACACCAAATCCCTGGAAGCGAACTAAAGCAATCATCTGAAAGAAATTTCAACTGATTTTTACATTTACATTACATTTTTGTGAAAAATAAATAAATTCCTTTTAAAATGTAAAAAAAAAAAAAACAGAATTATTTATAATTTCATATTCAATTAATTAATTAATTAATTAAGGATTTTCACCCATAACTAAATTATTATTATTACTTTTAACATATCGTAAAAATTTCCACTTACCTGCACTATATAGAGGCACGGACACATCGGCGCACCGCCTCCAATGCTAATGCCAATTAGATTGCTCTGATCCTTCGTAATCACAACTGCATTCGTGCTGACAGTCATGCCCCTGCAAATGTTTTAATTGAAGTTCGGTTTACCTGAAGTTATTGCCATATTGTATATATTTATATAGTCTAGGCCTAAGTTAAAGCTTTTTGTTAGAGCAATAAGCGTGCGATACTCACATCAATTTGTGCAGTTTTCTAATTAGCCGTAGAGTTGTTAATAAACTTAAAAAAAAAAACGCTTTCTGCAATTTGAATTCTAGAATTATTCAAATTAAAATTAATTTAATAATAGCTTTAGCATTGTTAAAAATTATTTCAAATCAACTTTCTCTCTCGAACAATGTACCTTTAACTATGAATATTTGTTTGTATTATATACAATAGAATACAATATAATAGTATCGTACTATATATTATAATATAAAATATGTTACATATATTTTTTTTTTTTTGTTGGCTATCCAATATTCTATAATTCAATTATAGATTATAGAGTTTTTTGACTATAAACAAAAATAATTTTTTTTTTAAATCTCAACCTTCTAGTAGTTATCGTAATAAATCGGAATATATCTATAATTCCATTAAATTGTATATGCTTATAAAATAGGATATGTCTTTATTAAAGGACTTTCTAGTAGTTATATATTTTTTTGGACCCAAGTAAAACATAATAATGTAAATGAACTACACACATATACTCGTGTTTACTCTATTAAAAAATAAATAAATTTAGCCTTTAGGAGCTTACAAAATAAAGAACGAGGCATACAATAAATACGCTTTGTCTCCGTCTAGGTTTGGGTTAGCTTTTGAGACACTACATGAAGTATATGCTTTATATAACGGTTCATATAACGATTCATAACGTTTCTAACGATTTAGTGAGTCAAGAAATATTGACTTACAAGCGATCTAGCTCGTATTTTTGTTTACTAAAGAGTCCATATCGATCTGGTGTTAGCTCGAGGCCAGTGCAAAACACCGCAGTTTCTGTATCGGTGGCCGCGGTGACTTTTAAATCCTCCAATTTTTGTTTCGAACTTTTAGGAATCAGATATATATTTATCATATATGTACACATACAGAGAGAAATAGAGGCAGAGCTAGTACTTCCTATTCCACCCGATACTTACGCCTCAAAGTCGGCCATGAAATCCTCATTTAATTGTATTAGCACTGGCGTGATCTCGCTCGTTTGCTTTCTAATTAAATTTTGTATTACATTATTTTATATTTATGTTAGAACTATCATAAACAATATGTTGACCCAATTATTGATTTTTTATTTCAAACAGTTGGCAAAGCTTTTCAGTTTCACGTTTAACCCACGAAATGTATTTACATATGCAAGCGTATATACATGCATTCCGGTACTTACATTTTATCCTCGTAGAAGAAATCATCGTCGTCCGTCAGCATTTTGGCAGTTTTCTTATTTATTTACTATTTTAAACAAACAGGCCTTAGAGCCTTCCCATACACTTCTGACGTGAACTTGGCTGCTTAAGAAAAATCAAAACAGTTTTCTATCGAGTAATATCGATGTTTGGCGATACTATCTATTGGCTACCTTACAGCACTGCCAATACAACTTGTTGCCTAGGCAACGCGAAAAAATATAAACAATAAATAATTTGTGCAATGGATTGGGCTGAAGAACTGAAAATGACTATAAGAAAGGTTAAATTGAATTAAATAAAACTATAATTTATATAATTATGTATATTTTTAGACCACTGCACGCAAGGGTCGTCGCTCAAAGAGTCGCGATGTCTTGAAAGAGGAAAATCAGGCAGGATCATCATCGAGTGCTGCGTCGACACACAAATTGAATAAAGATATATCCATAGATATTACGTTGGATGTACAAAATGATAGTAGCAGTCCCACATCTACAACACCTACAGCATATAATAATGAATTTGATTCAAGTCGGCCGCCCATCCGGCGCGTCTCTGGTGGCTGGGCAGATTCTGGTTTTAAAGGACTTAAGTAAGTAAAAGTTTTAAATTTCGAGTGTTACCTAATACGAATTTATTTGTTCTAGATCCAAGAAGAATTCATTTGATGAGTAAGCAACTACAGCTTTTATATTAGCTCACATAATTAATATCAAATTTATAGTGAACGCTTTCAAGTGATCAAATCTGCGACAAGTTCAATACCAACGGATGATATACCCATTATACCGGATTTAGATGATGTCAGAGATGAAATATTGCTAAACGAAATTGTTGAGCCTGCATCGTAAGATAGTTTCTTTATATAAACATGATAAAATAATAATTTACTTAACTTACAGAAGCGTCGCTATTAGTCGCGATGTTACATTTAAAGAGTTAAGCTCCGATCTGCTCTCACAAAATGCCTTTTCAGCAATAGAAGACGTGGATTTGACAATATTGACACGTTGCTTACAGGTTCAGGAAAGCTTGGATGAACCGGACGAAATTTGGGAATGGGATAAGCTCTTTACCGAGATAACTGCGCAAATAAATTCGGATAAGACATTGAATGTTGGTATGCCGGAAAAGACAGAAATTGGACCTGATGAAGTGCCACCTACGGCTAAATACAATTAATTCTATAAAATCAAATAAATGTAATTAAATTAATTCGCGCATTTAAAATTCAAATTGCCATGCAATGAGGGACGCACACAAAAAGTTGCTAAATAATACCAAAAAATGTTAAGCTATCGAGAAAAAATCGATAGCGTTGCCGAAGTTTCTCCCGTCACTATCTGTCACGGGGCAGCGAAAAAACATAGTTGTAGACAATTTTTAATCTGTGTTAATCGCGTTGAAAATTGTGTTAAAAAATTATAAACTGCTTATAATAAGATCATTCATACAACAATGGCGCCGAAATCCAGAACAGTTGGTGTTCCACCAAAATCACAGACCTTTAAAGACAAGTCAAAGCCAACCGATGTGAGGCTGTCCAATATACAGGCGGCAAAGGGTAAGAAAATATGTGGTTATTGTAGAAATATGCTAAGTCGTAACATAAAATGGGTGTAGAAAGGTTATTTATGATACTTATTGTGAATTATGTTACATGTTTGTTGTTGGTAGGATGAGATAATGTATTTAAATGCATTAATAAAAAGCAGTTGCCGGCTGCCGTCTGGAAGCTTCTTAGTGATGGCAATATATGAGTCATGTGTTTCGGTATGGGATTCTTACTAATCGATTCTTTTTGCAGCTGTCTCCGATGCCATTCGTACCAGCTTGGGTCCTCGCGGCATGGACAAAATGATTCAGGCTGGCAATGGCGAAGTATCCATTACCAATGATGGCGCGACCATTTTGAAGCAGATGAATGTCTTGCATCCCGCTGCCAAAATGTTGGTTGAGCTGTCCCGTGCCCAGGATGTTGAGGCCGGCGATGGCACCACTTCCGTTGTGGTCATTGCCGGTGCCCTGTTGGAGGCATGTGAGAAGCTGCTGCAGAAGGGTTTGCATCCCACTGCCATTTCGGATTCGTTCCAACGTTGCTCGAACAAAGCTGTGGAGATTCTCACTCAAATGTCGACTCCAATTGAACTCAAGGATCGCGAAACTTTGATCAAGAGTGCTTCCACATCGCTCAACTCTAAAGTTGTCTCCCAGCAGAGCAGCTTGCTCGCTCCCATTGCTGTGGACGCAGTGTTAAAAGTCACCGAACCAGGCAAAGAGGCATCGGTGGATCTAAAGAACATTAAGGTTATTCAGAGCTTGGGCGGCACTGTTGAGGATACGGAACTGGTCCAGGGCTTGGTCTTCACCAGCCGCTCGGCCGGCACCAATGCACCCAAACGCATTGAGAAGGCAAAGATTGGTCTCATTCAATTCTGTATTTCGGCACCAAAAACCGACATGGATCACAATGTGATTGTTAGCGATTATGCAGCCATGGATCGTGTACTCAAGGAGGAGCGCTCCTATATTTTGAACATCGTAAAGCAGATCAAGAAGGCGGGCTGCAATGTCCTCCTCGTACAGAAGTCCATATTGCGGTAGGTTACTTGAGTTTGATGTTGTGGAACTATATAACTGAATTTTACGTATCTATAGTGATGCCGTCTCGGATCTGGCTCAGCATTTCCTTGACAAGATCAAGTGCTTGGTTGTCAAGGACGTGGAACGCGAGGACATTGAGTTTGTATGCAAATCATTGCATTGTCGTCCAATTGCCTCGCTGGATCATTTCACGGCTGAGAATTTGTCGAGCGCAGATCTCGTCGAGGAAGTTGCCAGTGGCACCAACAAGTTTGTCAAGATCACGGGCATTCAAAATCAAGGACGCACCGTTTCTATTATCTGCCGTGGCTCCAATAAGCTCGTTCTAGAGGAGGCTGCACGCTCGTTGCACGATGCTCTGTGTGTGGTGCGTTGTTTGGTCAAGAAGCGTGCTCAGATTGTGGGCGGCGGTGCCCCTGAAATAGAGATGGCATTGCAGCTAGCTGCACTGGCGCAAACCGTCGAAGGTGTGGATGCATATTGCTATCGTGCCTTTGCGGATGCCCTGGAGGTGATTCCATCAACTTTGGCCGAGAATGCAGGCTTGAATCCAATTGCTACGGTGACCGAGCTGCGCAATCGTCATGCTCAGGGCGAAAAGACAGCCGGCATCAATGTGCGCAAGGGTGCCATCACCGATATTCTGGCAGAGAATGTGGTGCAGCCGCTTCTGGTGAGCACATCAGCCATTACACTGGCCACCGAGACCATACGCTCCATACTGAAGATTGATGATATTGTGAGTAGAATCTCTTTATTAAATATTATTATGTTATTAATTGATATTTCTCTTTGCAGATCAACACGATGAGCTAAGCAGTTTGGCTTTGCCAGCAACTCTTATTTGCATTTTCATTTAACACACACACTTACATATACCTACGCACACACACACGTATATGATAAAGAAACACACACACCATCCATAACGTTTCCATTTTGCGGCATCTGGCTCGCCTTTATAATGAATAAAATTCACATAATATACACTACAAGTTAATATGTATTTAACATTTAAATAAAAACTGTATTTCGCTTTGTATTAACAACGAACTGAATCATATGTTTTATATTTTTGTTTTTAAATTCGGTATTTGCTTCACGGCTGCCACTCGTAAGCATGTTTGGGATTTGGTGTTGCCATATCTGTAGAAAAAGTGTAGAAGACATTTTTTTTTGGCGGCCAATTTAAATATTGTTTTCCATAGTAATAAAGAATATTATTTTGTGTACTATGACGATAAAGAGGGTAATAACTAAAAATATTATTAAAAATTATATAATGATTTTTATATAAAATACATATATATAGTAATTAAAATCCGTCATAGAAATAAACAAAAATTACGCCAGGAAAATATATTGAAAATAAATAGCAAGTCAGGATAAAATTTTTAAAATAGCTTAAATAGTTATTACAATTGGAAATATTTAAAAATAAATAATAAAATGGGAATTCAAGACAAAACTAAAAATATATAAAAAAAAAAAAAAAAAAAAAAAAAAAAAAAACTAAAAATATACCGAAAAAAAAAGTGAGTTAGATGAAATTCACTTTTATATGTAAGCCGTGCAACTGCGGGCAATTGCTTTTAATTTGTAAACAACTACAAATGATTATTGTCATTAGATCTGCGCATCGAAAATTTCTTGCTATTTATATCCGCTTTGACACATCGTTGAATGTGAGAAATTCCTTCATGCCTTTTTCTTTAATAGTGCTAACATTTCAAAGGATTTGCGCCCGTTTTCCCTTGACATTCCTTTTGTTGTTCGAGTAAATAAAAATCACTTGATGCGATTTTTATGAAGTGCGTTAAATGATTAAACCACTTGAAATGGTTTCAAATTGTCAAAAAAGAAAAAGGCGAGAAAAATAAGGGACAAATCTAAAGGTTTTTTTCTACTATTTTCCTCCATTTCCTTGGCCTGTTTCGTTTATGCTCCCAGGACGGGGAACTCCACGAATCGGAAGTTTGTAGAGCGCGTGTTAGTTAATTAAATCTGTAAACATGTCAAAGCGAAAAGGCTCGACTACAAATGGTTTCGATTTCAAACATTTTCTTCTCCAGGGGGTTGGAATTCTCTTTATGTTTTATTTTGTCTCCTGTTGCTTTGATTTTTGAGCACAAAAGTTTTCGAGCTTCAGCGAGGGTTGTTTAACGGCTTTTTTTTTTGAGGGTGTGGCATGCAAATTTTGTTTGGTCTGCCATGTTTTAAAATCCAACCATTTTTAATGGGCTTTACAGATTTTGCGGCATACTTTTGGGCAGGGATGATTCTTGAATTTAACTTCAGTTTTCTGCGCATTAATGTTTGAAAACTCTAAGTGAAAGACATTTTGTACTATATATATTATAAATTTATATGAAGAGAATATCTGAATTTAATATGAGTTGCTCAAATTTCATTTTGATACTCATTGAAAATATATCAAAAGGGGCATTTTGAGCCAAGTCTAACTGTTTGTAACATGTAAGCAAATTTACCTCTACGCTTAAATGGTAAAACTTAAAGTTTTAAATATTTATTTATTATAAAATTATAGATACAGATGATTCATTATCAACTTTTAATGAACCAATTCCATTAAATAATTCATAAAAATTGACTAGTTCAACGAACAAGCTCCAACGGTTGGTCTTATTTACTTTACTTGATCCGCATACTGAACTCGAATTGATCTTAATGAATGAAGCGAATAATTAGTGCATACATATATGTATAAACTTGTGATGACCCAAGTGAACTAGTGAAATGAATGATATACTTCATGAATCAAGAAAGATTTAAATTATACATTCCTTTCGAGCCACAGTTGCAAGATCTGTTCTATATACATATAAACAATATTTCTTATCCCATCCATGTTTCCAGGGTAACTCCCAGTCTATCCCTGGCTAATCGCTTACTGCTTTGCTTTTTTTTCATATAGCCCACAGCGTTGAGCACTTTGCCACAATTTCATTGGTCTGTTTGCTTTGACCTCATCAAGAGCGCAGTTAGAAGGGGTCCAAGGGGTCCTTCGTTCTTCTCGTCCTTCGTCTAGGGACTTGCATTTGTTTGTATGCGCAAATATTTAACTTGTGATTTTTTTACGAAGAGGATTCTTTTTTTTTTGGGGGGCCTCCTAGTTATATACTAGCCCCACTCACACTTTACAACATTTCGTTCCCAATTTATTTATTTTTTTTTTTCAGTTTGATTTTCGCTTTGTTTCTTTGTCCCATTTGTTTGCTTAATGAAAAAGAATAAAAAATAAAATGAAATAGGAAAAAAAGTTTCCTTTTTGTCGCTCATTTCATATTTTCATTGTAATTCAATTGTGTTCGCAGTAATTTTTCAGCTTCTTTTTTCTTCTTCTACTTGTTTGTATTTACTTGAGAACAAAGGCAACTTTTCGTTAGAATGTCTGCAAAAGGGGTGGTGTGTACATGGCCACGCCCCTTTAGCGCCCACACAGGCAGACAATTGAAATTCAAAGCAGCAAAGACGCGAGCACTCATTCAGAAATTGAACATATGTCGTCTATATATAATTTGCGAGCACGATTTTTCTGTTTGTCGTAGACATCTTCTTTTAGAGAGGATATCTCTAGTTCTCAATGAATTGGCAAATAATAAAATCAATTTGTTAACATTAAGTAAAGACTCAATTTTTGGTACTGAAAGTTTTTTAAAGGAGTTTAATAAAAAGTAATTTTAAAGGAAGATTTGAAGGAAAGTTGTTCGAAGAACCATTTTATATATTTAGATACTTGAAAAAAGTTGTAAGTTCATAAGCTAAGAAGCTCATCGAAAAAGTTTAAGAAATATCAACATATTCTCTCATATTTGTATGCTTCATGAAGTTAAGGCCTTCTCTATCTAATTCTCATGCATTAACACTTTCATTACACATGCCTCCTTAAGTGGGCGACCACTACAATCGAAATCCAGTTAAAGCCGTGAAAAAGTAGCAATAAAAATTGTAGCAGAGAAACTTAATTTTCGTTAGTCCTGGCAGCTTTTCCATTTGATTAATGATTTTCCACACAGTGTTCGTATGGTCGTATGCGTAAAGAACCGTTATGAAAACGTATTCGAAAATTTCATTAAATTGTTATAAATGAAGCCAAATGGAGAGAACATTTCACAAAATGGGAATTCAATTTGCAAATGCAGCCAACGAAATCTATCAAAGGACTCGCACATAGCAAATCTTTAGCAGCCGATCTAAGCGAGGAGAAAAAGTCAGGAACATGAGGAAGGGGAGGAGGAGATGGCATGCCACATGCCACATACACATACATATACTTACTACACACACACAAAGAGAGAGAAATAATAGCCCCCAGCTGAAGGGAAAGTCTAATCCCAACTTCCAATCGACCCGCTTTTCTATTTGACCAGTTAAATGACCAGAGGGCGGACGGCAAAGGAAGGGCCGGTCGAGAGAGTGGGGGGCGTGGCATTTTGAATATGTGGGCTGAAAATTGAAAGCGATTTGCGAACCTTTGAACGAGCGTCTGCAACTGACTGATAACGATTCAAAGAGCGAAGCTCTGAAGTGTACCAATTACGTGTGAGTGCTACAGATAGAGGACTTGCCCAAGGACCTGCTGCTGCACGACATGCTCCTGTGGGTGCCCGAGGGCTGTTCCGGCACTTCACAAAGTCTTTGCTGCGAGGGGCTATGGAAGCGTTTGTAAAAGCAAACATTTAACGACATATAATTACAGTTCTATTAAAATATATATTCAATATATAATAAAGAATATATTGAGTATATGGTGAAAAGGATTTTAAAAATATATTTTAGTTTCTAAACATTTTTAAAGATACAAAATAGTATTAAGTAGCATTCCATAAAGAAAGGTCTTTTTATTTTTAAGTGTTCGAGACATGCTGTTGTATTATTCTTAATTGTATATATATATATATATATATTTTTTACATATTTAAAAAATAAAAAAAGCTCACTTTTTAAACTTGCACCAAACTTGCAACTATTTTGTATTTTATTTTTTAATTTAATTTAGTTTACATTTTATAGATGCCCAACTCGTTTTTGGTGCTAGTTGAAATAAGCTGTGAAGCACTGTATATGTTATAAAATTGAGTTAACTCTTTCTTTCTCAATCTCATTAAAATATGCATACATGTACATACATATGTACATACTAGATACATGTGTAAGTGTATGCTTTAGCACAGAAAGTTCTATTGCATGAAGTAAGAGCGGTGAAAAATGATAGATAAAGAATTTACTAACACCCGACGTGTAACAACATGTCAGACACCGCGTACCCACTCTTAATAAAGCTTTTTATTTTACATTCAACAATGATTATCATAGAGCAGGAGAAAGAGCGCTTTCATGCCAGTTGCTTTTGATCCCGTTACTTTAAGTTGTGTTTGCATAGAATTGTGCTTTGGTTTAGGTATATGCTCTCTTTTGGTCTTGTAGTAGTGCAAGTGCTCGTTGGGCTACTCATGCAAATTTAGTCTGTGCGGTGAAGTCCTGTTGATCGGTCGAATTAGCAGCTCGTGCTTGCATAATAATTATTTTAATAATTTATCGGGTTTTTCGTGTGCATCTATGTGTTTTTTGTTTAGTGTTCTGTCCAAGTTCTACTTAAGTAAGCTGTATCTGCAAAATATATTGAAATTTTTCCATGCAAAGCTTTTTTCATCATCAGTGCAAAAATGAGAGAGCAATTGTAATTTTTATATGCTGCAGCCTGCAGGAGAGCAAAGAGAGCAAGCTAGCTAGCTAGAAGATATCGTGTGCGTGTTATTGCACTTCGCGTTGTTGCCATTTCTTCAGCTGTGTGTGTAATGGAGTGAGCGGAGTGAATGCTGTTAGCGCGGCATTTACATACGGACAGGCATACATACATACCTGTGTGTTGCTCTCTTGTAAATGAATGCCTATGAGTGTGTTTGTGTAAATTCGTGTGTTTCATACGCAATTTTTGTGTGCGCTGCAATAAAGTTGCCTATGGGCTGAGTGTTCTTTCTTCTTTTTTTTTAAGTGATAAAAAAAGAGCTTTCTGAAGATTAGCTTATTATATCTTAATGTGGTTTCTCGCATACATAATAGTGAGTGGAGAAGGAAATAGAGCAGAGGAGAGGGAGGACACAATATAAGCTTTTTCAAATCCCGTAAGCGAGCTCCTTTTACTTATATAATTAAAATCTATTTAGCACAGTTTTAAATCCAGATTAGAATTGTTTATGGTTTGAGTAACGGCTGAATACGCATGTGCTCTCTATGCAAATATCTGTATGTTTTCCTATACGTAGAAAATACACAAATAATAATAACAAAAGAAAAAAATCTTGCCTTATGAATGAAAAGTTTGGTTCTATATTCTATAAATTCATACATATATGAGCATAAAAAATGTATTTAATTTAAATCATAATAATATGACATAAGTTCCGTTAACTGCATTCAATGTTAATCGTTTATTTAGTTTACAACATATTTTAATGTTTATTCCTAGCTTAATTTCTACTTGGAACTAAATTCATGTTTTATATCGATGTAAAACAATTTAAAAATGAGCTCAGATAATAAACAACTGGCACACAGCTCTAAATGCTTTCACTGTCAATAGAAAAAAGGACAACAGGGACAAGAAGGACAACAATCTTTGCCCTTTAGTAGACCATATGACATAACTATGTGTGAATTTATAGCATATACCCTTTTTTGTTCGTTCAGCCCTAAACGAATCAGCAACTGGCACCAACCAGGTCGCTTAACCCAACCCTCTGAAAACTTTTTCTTCCTCTGGAGTCGGGGTTCTTTTTTTTTCTGATGGTCAATGGGATTTACACGCTTGCTTTCGATATACAAATAAGGGTTTGCTAGCTCGCTTCCATATTGAGAAAGATGAAGTGATTTCTTATCCAACAAAATCCACTCCCGAGTACCCCAAAAAAAAAAAAAAAAAAAAAGAGGAAAAGGGGTTGGTAAGGGTCTCTCTCCTGCTCTAAGGAAGTTTATTAAAAAATGGTGTGTTTGCGTTTGGCGCGTGTCCTGGCGGATGTGATTCCGATTCTTTAGCCCTCTATGTTTTCACTGGGACCAAGAAATCAGTTAACTAAATATGTTGTTAAATATTTATTTAGGGAGCTTCTAATGAGATTCAAGTGTACTTAGGATCGAGGGCTTTTGCACTGAGAAATGGCACCTAATTGAATTATAAATCAAATCCAAGACGATGTGATTACAAATGATGGTAAAAAGGTAATGCTTGCTGATTTTGTTTGACATACATATAAATTACATGGGCAATAATATATCTTTAATCTGCTCATAGAAAACTTTTTGGGAGTATAGGTACCAGTTTAGCTGAAATGTTTTATAAAAGAAAAATAATTACACGTATACCATTTTGCGCTGTTCTATTACTTGTTTTATTGTGCGTCAAGATATGCTATAAAATTTAAAAAAAATCCAGATATAATAAAATCAATCAAATAAAGTTATATTACCATCTTACAAGAAGTAAAAGAGATCTAACCGAAGATCAAAATTAAATATGGCGAATATATCCAAACCCATTTTTAGAGCTATAAGCTTCAACATTAGATATTTGATTAATATTTACTACTTTTTGGAAGTATGTCATATAGAAAACTAGCCTAAAATTTTCAAGTTTGTGGAGCGTAATCACATCCAAGTTTTACAATTACATTACCACACACTCTCGTTCTAAGAACTGGTGAAAAAAATTATTTTATAATAATTATGTGAATTTACTAATCATTTTAGTAAGTTCCACTAATCCTTTCGCATTATGGCATACCAAAAATAAACTAATTTGGTTTTTCAATTAAGTTTTTAAATAATTTTTATTGAAATTTTTTGTTTAGTGTTAGATCTAAGTGTTCCGATCAATTTACAACTGGACATTGTACAACAATATCATTATAATATATAGATAGTATGTTACATAGGTATCTAGATTTAATATTAATTATATATATAGTATGTATATGTTGCTATAAATAGTTGATAGATTGGCATGCTGGACACGTACGTACATACATACAGATACAAAGACAACAACAGTTATGGGTGGCACTCTACATAGATCCAATATAATGCCTATATATAGGGGCTTTATATAATATATTTATATGTACTTGTAAATTCGTGGAATGCTGATACGAACATCTATCAGGGAGGATTTTGGATACAGGGATAATACGATATGCAGTTTTTGTTGTTGGTTTATTATTTTTGGAATGTTTGTGGAAGATTTGGAGAACTTCACTCGGTTTATATACAATCTGAATTACGATCAATCTCTCAATCTCCCGAGCTAATGGAGCTACCGCAATGTGATCCTCCTCCGCTAGCTTCGAGCAGCATATGTCCATTGGACATATTGAGCACTTGTGGGGGATAGCCAAAGGCGTGGCTGCTCAGCGGCGTGCCCGTCGGACTATCCAGATCGAGGGAGGGATTGATGCGTTTCTCCTTCTGCCGGCGATTGCAGAACCAAACGCGCACAACTTCTTTATCCATATGCAGGCGCTCCGACAGCTGATTGATCTCCTCCGAGGTAGGCTTACAATTGTGCATGAATGCCTGCTCCAGTGCTCCCCTTATTGTGGTCTCTATCGAAGTGCGCTTCTTGCGCCGCCTGCCCAATATGCTCTCCGGTGTGGTGGTTAAATTGGTGGTCATTGTGTTGATATTGAAGACGCCACCGGCTGACTTGGCCACACTCGAATCGGCATCTTCCAGCCACTTCTGGAGCAGGGGCTTCAGTTTGCACATGTTCTTGAAGCTCAGATTGAGCGCCTCGAAGCGCGAGATGGTGGTCTGGGAGAAATCGTTGCCGTAGAGCTTGCCCATGGCCAGGCCCACGTCGCCTTGGGTAAAGCCCAGTTTGATGCGTCGCTGCTTGAAAGTCTTGGCAAACTGTTCCAGCTCCTCCAGATCTGTAGTCTCCTCTGGGGATTGCTCCAGCTTGGTGGCCATGACAGCGGCAACGGTGGCGCCGCTATTCAAGGGTTTGGGTGTCGAGCTGGAAGCAGCTGCCGTCGATTGCTGCTGCTGTTGCTGCTGCTGCATGCTAGGCGTATTTGGTGTTAGCACAGCGCTGCTTAATCCCAATCCTCCCAAGGAATTGGGCGGCGTGCGCTGCTGTGGCTCCAATTGACGACCGACTGGACTGAGCGACGGACTGCGCAGCGGACTTTTGCTCAGGGGCGTGGAGTAGTGGCGCGTGGGCAAAATTTCACTCGACACCTGCTGCACTTGCTCCCTTTCTCGCTCCATTTTGAGCTGCTGCAGCGCTTGAAATTGGGCCAAGGCTTGCAGCGAATTCTGTAGCAGAAATTGCGTGGCCAGATTGGGATTGGGGAAGGCTTCGGGTGCCAGTTGACGAACCATCTCAATATAGCTATGCAGCTGGAGTTGCAGTGCCTGCTGCATGTCTTCGGGTCCAAAGCCCAAAGGTGCTGGCACACCCAAGGGAGGCGGGGCAGTTGCTGCTGCTGCTGCTGCTGCAGTTGGCTGTGGCTCAGGTGCTTGGGGCTCGAGGGCCATGCGCTTGGGTGCCGGAGAAGCCAAATTCAGCACCTCATTCTCCATTGCAACGTCCAGTTGCCGTGAGGCGCGACGCTTGCTGCTCAAATTTTGAGCAACATCCTCGTCCAGATCATCGTCCTCCTCCTCCTCCTCTTCATAGCTTTTGCCACAGTCTGTAAAGTGAAGAAAAAAGATTGAATTAGCAAAACAAGAATAGCATAGGATTATAGGATATTATATATAAAATATAGTGTGATTGATTTGGATATATTTCTTTAACTAAATTGCCTTACTAAAATATGTTAAAGCCAATCATATTGACCATACAAAGCCAGTTAACAGTCGCCAAACATTTTATGTATATTCTCTAACTAAATTTATATGTATATATATATATATATATATATATATATATTCAATTTTCCAACTCAATGAAGTTTGCAAGTAGCAAGTAGCCAGAGCAGAGACAGCAGGACAACGCATGCACACATACACACACACATAATTCAATTGCCCAACTCAACCTGCCCCAGCCACGCCCCTGCCCATCTCCAAAAGTTTTCAATATTTTTGCTATTTTAAGGCAAATTTTATTCAATCTTCCAATTGAATGGGCTCTCGGCTAAGTCCTTTGCCCTGTTGTCCTGTTGTTGTCCTGCGGTTAGCTGTTGTTAGGCGATAGACGCTCAACCGGAAGGGTTTTGCTTTGTGCCACGCCCTCCCCCATTGACCTCCCCGTTTTACATCTATCAACTAGCCTTAAATTCAATCATGCATAATAATTGAAAAATCGCCGGCATCGAACGCAGGACGGAAGCTTTACACAACTTTTGCTTTTTTCTTTGTTTTCATTTCAAGTTTTTCTTCTTCTATATATTTTTTTTTAAGATCTCAAATTTCATAATGTGTCATGAGCATATTTATTGATTTACAACCTATTGAATTTGCTTGAAATTAAAGAATGGTCAGGAAGTTCTTGTAAGATAATCCATTGAAAAGACCAAAAACCCTAAGCATTGATCAATCTCGGGGTGAGGGAATGGCCTTTGGAGTAAAAAATGTTCCATTGTTGTGAAGAAAAATAAAAGTAGTAAGTGCAAAAATTATATATCTGATATTTGTTCATAATATATTTAGTGTATGAATATCATACAACAAATATTTAAAATCGTTTTATGATAAAACAATTGTGTTTTAATAAAAGGATAAAAAATTATACTATGAAAAGTTTTTTGAATAACGGAAATTATTATTTTTTTTTTTAAGATTAATGAATGAGACTTAAAAGTACTTAGAATCTGTTGGGCTAACACAGCTTAGCATGTACTCAAAGGTTGACAAAATTAGATAACTAAAATGTAATTAATTGCTAACAATTATTTTTAGCATACAGCTTTAACGGTTAAAGGTTAAAGTTTAACCTGTTTGAAACAATTTCATGAATCGTTTATTTTTATTGTTTTTTTTTTTTTTTTGCTTTGTTAAGCAGCTTTGCAGCTTTGTTCAGTCCTGTTAACAGGATTAAAAAACTTTAATTTTAAATGCGGGCGGCATTAGAGAAGGGAAAACTTTTTATATGTGGGCAGCTGTTTTTATGACTTATGTTTCGGCTAATATAATTAGCAGAAATGCAGTCAACTCTATAAAAAAAAAGTCACGTAGATAAGGGTTAAAAACCCCAACCCACCCGCTGATTGTAAAATTTGCCAACCCCCTGGCTGGAATTTTCTCCGCTTTCGTTTTTCGTTTGTTACAATTGGAAAGGCAAAGGATTTCCATTTTTGATTTTCATTCGGGGTGAAGTTCAAATGCAACTTGTGATTGGCAAAAAGGGTTTGAAGCTACAATAAAACTGAAAAAAGAGGCTGCTGCGTTGCATTGTGTTGCATGTGGCAAGTCAAGAAGCTGCAGGCGAAAAAAAAGAGAAAAAACTATTGTGACTGCTGCCAGAGATCCAGCAGTGAAAAACTCTAAAATGGAAATAGGGAAAAGCGAATGCAGAACCTGACGCCAGGTGCTGTTCAGCAGATGTGTTGTTGCAACAATGTGGAAATGTGTGAATGTGAGTGTGAGTGCGAGTGTGAGTCTCTGTTGCACTGACAAATGAAGTGTTGCCCCTCACTCACTCACTCTTTCTCTCTCCCTCTCTCGTATTCGCTTGTCTCCCTCTGTTTAGGGGTTGTTCGCGTCACATGGGGCGACTGGGCAAAGTGTGCGTGTTGCGATTTATGGGAAAGATATAACAGTTCGCATATAAATAAATATTCGCAAAACTATCCAATTATGCAGGATATCTAGCTAAAGATAACGCTGGAGTTTCTGAATATGGAATGCATTTTCAGGGGCTTCTATCAAATATTTAAATCTAATGGTGATAGAATAGTTGAAAGAGAATATTCGGTATTTGGCAAATATGCCATTGAAATGCAAATCTATTTAAAATATTTTCAAAAGGAATAATTATAAAATTAAATATATGTATTTATTAATTATAGCAACTGTTTTTCATTTTATGAAATAAAAATAGGAAATACTATGAAATATATTATTATATGCTTAGTATTTTTTTTTTACACTTTAAAATTAAATAATATAAAATAATTAAAATATAATAATATATTTAAATTTATACTGTTTTTTTTTTATTTTTTTATTTTTATTATTATTATTATTTTTTTTTTTTTTTTCAATGTAAATTTGAGAGTTTGTCGTACTCATTTTTCTGATATTTATAATATTTGTATAAAACTTAAGCCTTATTAAGCTAATATTATTGCCTAATACGGCCCAACCCCCTTCACCTCAACAACAGTTTCCTTACCAAAATTACCTCTTTAACCCTGTCTCGACTTCAACACACTTCAAAATTTTAAAATACCATAAAACCACAAATCAACCAAAGCGAAACGCCCTCGTAACGCCTCAAAGCCAATCAAAAGAAACGCACCCAATCAAAGAGGAAGAGGAAAAAAAAAAAACAGCAACCGCTGATTAAAATATAAAGAGAGTCACAAATTACCCTATCAAAAAAATAGGATACCCAAACAATTAGCAGCACGCAAACAAATCCTTTGGGTGCATGGAAGAGGAAAAGGCGTTGCACAATTTGAATAACAGTTCAACAAGTAGCACTTAAAAAGTCGCGAGGGCTAGGGTTGAAAAAAGAGAGAGTGAGACTTGAACCCTTCCGCACACAAAAAACTCACACAATTTGCCACACGCCTGATACCTCATTTGCTATTCAAATTTGATGGAGGAAGGAAGATGCGCAACAGTTGATTGGCTTAACCCTAACCTCACACTTGAGCCAACCCCAAACTCACATTTTTTTTTGTAATTTAAATATCTGCCACAACCCTTTTTTATAAGGGTTCGCAGTTGTTGTTGTTGTTGCTGTTGTGACATATTTGAATAAAGCGCGTCGCGTTAATTTGTGTAAACCAATAAAAATGCAAAATTAATTGTCAGTTGATGATATGGCAACCCTGTGCGGCAACTATTTAAATGAGGGTTGTCGCAATGTTTGCATGAGTGCTTGGGGTGGATTGATGCATGTTTTTGCATAGATTAGCTGCGCTTTGTTAAGGAGTGTAAGAGAGATTGAGTGAGAGTGAGCGGGAGGGGGTAGGAGAGGGAGGTAGGGCGAGAGGGTAGAGGGTAGGGGCTAAAGGTCAGCAGTTAGGGGCGAACCTCTCTTACATAATTGCTCGCAACAATAAAATTCAAATGCGCAGTTGTGAAATTTACATTCTGACAAATTGTTATTTTTATTTTGTGTTTGCTAAAAGGGCGAGCAAAAGGAAGACGCAAAAGACGAGAGTGAGAGAGGGTCAGGCGGGTGTACAATGGGGTCAAATGTGTTCTGATGTGTGTGTGTGTGTGTCAAATTGTGTATAAATAACCTTTTGCATATGTCGTGAGGGTTGTTGTATTTTCAAAGTATAGAACATTTGCAAATTTGACAGGGTTGTTTCCAAATTGTGGGTGGAAGGACAATACTTTATAAATATATATACATTAGGACTGATCAGAGTTTTTGCTTTGAAAAGTGAACATTTTTGATTCTTGGAATACGTTGAATGAGATGCGAATTGAAATTAAGTACAGCCCCAAATTACGTTTAGAGATCTACTATAAAAGTTGTGTAACACTATTTTAGGGATCAACCATTTGCGAAATCAAAGTTCGAAGAGGCCTATGAAAGTAATATATGTATGCTAATCAAATTAAAACAAATATTAAATATAATAATATAATCATATAGACCTAACTGATTGGGTCGAATTTATGAAAAATTATATTTATACAAATATTTTGCCCTTTCCAATTCCTTTCAAAACTTCTACTAAATCATTCTGTTACTCCATTTCTGTCTTATGTTTTCTCAATACTTCACTTCACTCCAATGTCAGTCTATGCGGGAATATATATGTATATTCTTAAATAGTTTTACCAGCCACACTTTAGTCACGTGCGTGGCTCTACCTAAGCCGCAAGCCCCGAGCCAACTGCCACGCTCAGAGCTCGAGCTGAACCTCAGGCGCATCCTCAAACATTTGCTTGGGGGTTGCCTTTGTTGTTGTTGCTATTGCTGTTGCAGTCGTTGTTGCATATATCCTTTTGCCAAAAACTATAAAATTGTTGCCCTACCCTCTCTCCGAAGAGACATCAATAAATTGGCTACGTAGCTCGTGTGAGTAATCAATTTGGCCACAAAGTAGCCACGTTCCACGTTTCACGTTCGCAAACTCGAATATCCCTACACCCTAACCAGAGATAGGAGACCCTTGCTTATATATTTTTGGTGCATGTTTGATGTATGTTAGCAAAGGATTAGGTGCATACCTGATAGAGATCGCAGGGGAGATGGCGGTGTCGGCGAGTTTGACATGTGTCGCATAACTGCAAAGAAATGAGATAGAAAGAAAAAAACATTTAAATTTCAATCTTTGTGGTTAGGTTTGATAAATAAGGGCATTCCTTAAAAATGGGGGGAATTAAAAGCGAATTACAACCAATATTATTTGTATATTTAATAATAATCAATGGAGTGAATGGAACGGGAAGAAGAATATAGAAGAATCAGTAGTTGATTAAAAACTGTCTACCAACAAGGTCATTACTTTTTGATCTGTATCAAGTTATTACAATATGCTGCCTATCGATAAGCACGAGATCGATGTGGATAGTTAAACTACCTTTATCGATAAGAGTATTTTTGGTTTTAACGATATTGAACCAAAATCTACTTACATTACAATATTTATCGATAACATTTGATATCGATAACTGTAAAATAATGTTTTAATTTGTATCGATAACTAGTAAGACTAGCAACTACAATTTGTAGTTTATCCACAGAAAATCTTCAGTCTGCCTATCAGCTGCCATCGATAATTGAGCTTTCCTTATCGATTATTTTGCCTTCTGTCAAATGCAAATGTCACGTCTGTGCATTTGCAGTCCGTACTTCAATTTGCTCTTAGGGGGTTGTGTTTGCTGCTTCGTCTGCTTGTTGTCTGTTTTTGGCGAGTGTCTCAGACATACAACACACCCACAAAGACACATATACAGACGTGGTCATCGTTTGTCCATTTGGTCTGCTTCGGGCCACTTGGCTCGTAAAATGTCCATTAGTATTTACGGTGCTTCGTTGTAGCGTAACATGCAAAAATTTCTACTGTCCATTGATGTCCTTTGAGTGGTGTCGTTTCAGTGGTCGGGTGGTTGGGTGGCTAGCGTTGTAAACTTTTTAAGAGTTCCGCGACAGCTCAACGATGAAATCAGCATGAAATTCAATTCAACTTTAAATACAAGGAAGTAACCAAAGTAATTCTTAAAGTTTGATTGAAATTACATGAAATATATATAATATATGTATGCAGATAAATTTTGATTTCAAATTTTATTGATATTATAATTAAAGCAAAGTTAAAGTTGGGCTTATAATTATATTTGTAAATCATCTTAGCCAATGACTACTGTATCTGTTCCTGTACACTTTGTCTTTTTTTTGTTATCTTCAATGCCGAATAGCTTATGAGCGCATTATCATATCAAACCCTAACATAAACGGCTTTGCTACTGTCTATGCAAAGTCCAACACACAGCCACACCATCAAACACACACATACACATTCAAACAGAGAGTACTTTAAATACACGCATATGTGCAAAAGGCAAAAGACGTCTCTGTAGTCGTGTTATCCTGTGACGCTGTCCAGAGTCCAGTCAGTGGTCGAGTTTTTTGTGTTGCAAAGTAGATATGATATTTATGGCTCCCCCGGGGCGTAAACAAAGTGTGGCAGCCCGAAAACACACAGAGAGTTTGAGAGAAAGAGCGGGAGAAAGGTGGAGAGAGAAGGGTATAGAAAGGCAGAGCAACAGCAGAAAAGGCGACATATTTTTACGACAATATATGGCAGATGAAATGCTTTGGAATCCTTGTGCATAATGCTTCAGCTTGACATTATAAATATACAGATTACCTCAGAGGACATTCACGTAATGGATTCTGTGGAGTCCATTTTGTCACTGAATTTGCTTGGACAATGCGCTGATCTGCATGCTATAAGCTAAATGTTACTAAAGTCTTGAAAATGGGATTATATTATTTTTGATAAAATTTATGTAAGAGGCAGAGGTAGGCGTGTCTGTAAGAGGTAGAGGTAGGCGTGTTTTATCTCTTTGGTATATAAACGAAGATATTACATAGAAGACTACACAGATATTTAACTTGTCGATATCGATATTGATTATCAATACATAAATGCTAAGTATATCTCTTTGTATACATATATCCCCCTTACGATATACATCTCCACGATTTGATCTTTAAATTTATGTTCTCCATTCGATATACACAAATATAATAAATCGTATACCCAAAAAAACAAGTAAGTAGGGAGTGCTCGACTTATAGATACCCATTCGATATACACAAATATAATAAATCGTATACCCATACGATTTATTATATTTGTGTATATCGAATGGGTATCTATAAGTCGAGCACTCCCTACTTACTTGTTTTTTTGGGTAGTTTTTTCATGCAATTAAAAAGGCAAAAAAGGAAAGGCGCATTATCCTTGCCACGGCTTAAATGTAATTACACAAAATTTGGCTTTTGTGGCTAGCTCCGTGTTGTATTTTTTTTATGACTAGGAAAATTAAGGGAAAATTTGAGAAATTGCACGCCTCAGTCTTAAGAGATGGACTAAAAAGGCGCTGCTTCTTTTTTTCCTTTCCTTTTTACCTTTACGTTTCCCTCTTTTTTTAAGGACATATGCCTGACGTTTTTTCATTTGTCTTGTATGCATGCAAAATACCTGAGACATCGTTCCTTCGAACAGGTAAAAAGGACAACGGTCACACACACACACACACAGGGCAGGACTCGCTGTCCAGGATGCAAATCTAAACTAAACAAAAAAAATGATCACACGCACTGTGGGGTTGCTCAAAGAAGCGGCATCTGCAGCAGCAGGAGATGCCTCGGCAGGACATCTCATGATGCCAAATCAAAACGAAAACTATAGCAAAATGCCATGAAATTGTAGATCCTGATATGGAAATCGAAATTCTATGCCATTGCCCATTGTGTGGGCGTGCGTCGCTCACAATCAGATCATGCGGCATTCGAGTTGCAACTATTGAAACAAATTTGGTTCAGCAGTGAAAAGTGAAAGTCGCAGGTGAAGTAATGGTAAGAAGAAGAATGTTTGAGAAGAATGTTTGGGTTAGCTACATTTAAACTATTTGGCCGCAGTAAAATATGATATTAAATTTTTTAGATTCATATTATTTTTTTTAGCGAGTTATAGCTTTAAGAATTCATGATCTATTAATTATAATATTTAATTTTATTTATTTATTATAATTTTTTTTAATTGTCTCAAATTGTTTCTGTTTTATTTGTTTATTTTTAATTTATAATAATAGTATTATTTAATTTTCGTGTCATTTAAATATTTTTAGATTGATTAATTATTAATTTAATTATATAATTTCTGCATTATTACTATATATATTAATTTAAAAATTAATATATTAAATGTATATATTAGATAAACAAAAATTAAATTTCGATAGCAGAAGTAAACCCTGTAAAAAAGCGCAACATTTAACGGTAAGTCAAGCAAACCAACGAATCCAGCTAAGCTTTACAGCAGAAGCTGGCAAGACAAGCTTTTCGGCAAGCTTTGCTTAGTTAGACTGGCTATATGGCAACGCTATCGCTGTGTATACTTATGGATAAGATATGGAAGATAGTCTCCTACATGCGTGTCTTGTGTCTTCCTGATCCTTGCGTTGAATTTGACGAATGCCTCGACGTTTCGCAGCTACATCATCCAAACTCAAATCCAATTTGTTGCCGACTTCTGCTGTCGCCTCTGCCGATGTTGTTGTTGCAGTTGAGGATCCTGTTGTGGTTTTTGTTGTTGTTGCTTTGGCGGCATCCCACAGACGGCGCTGTTGTTGCTGCTGTAGCAACATCATCTTATTTTTCTTGCGCTTGAAACTTTTTCTTTTTTTTTTTTTAATTAGTTTCTCTTTTTATGCATGCACAAAATGTTCGAGAATTTTAATTCACTTTTCACTGGCTTTCGTTAATATATATGTAAATGCGATTGTTCTGTCAAAAAGTTTTTGTTTGCTTTTTTTTTTTTGCAAGTCACAGTGAGCGCGCGCACAGAGTTGCCAGCTCGTTTTGTAGAAGTTAGTTAGAATTTAAATCGTATAAAAAGCAATAACAATTACGGCTTTTGCACTGCGACTGCGACTGCAACTGCGTTGGCGACTGCGACTACGACTAAGAGTTGTGCCGAACCGACTTCGTTCGCCTGCCGAATGCAACTGAAACGACGAAGCCAGCGACAAACGGTACACAGTGCTGTCGTTGTCGCTGCAGTTGCCTGCCTCAGTTTGTGTGTGTGTGTGTCTCTGAGTGTATGCTTTATGATTTGCAGCAGCAATTGCTGTAGTTGGTGTTGTTTTTTTTTTTTTCTCCTTTTGCCTAGTTTTCTTTGTTGCCTTTGGCCGCTCACTCACTCTCTGGCACACATTTGCTTACAGCATTGCGCTCAAATGTTTGTGCTCAGGCAGTTATCAACCCTGCACCGTTAGAGTTGAGTTAAATTACGTAGAGCAGTGAGTGCGAGTGTGAGTGAGCTAGTGAGTGAATGTGTCGGTGTGGAACGTATTCAGCTGTGGCTGCCTGCATTCTGATTAGACTTTGTGTTGTCATTGTCCCGTTGCATACCTACCCCTGCGCAGCACTTGGTATGCATTAGCATAGAGTTTGAGTGAAATGGGTGTGGCCAATGCGCTCGCTATATATGCATACACACACATATACGTAAACATATGCATGTGCAATATGAGCAGCTAGCTGCGTCGCTGCGCAGTTGCCGTTAAATATTTCCTTTTGCATATTTCGCTTTTACTCAAGTACATGGATCATAATTAGGATGTGCGCGTGTGTGTGTGAGCGCATATAAAGGTGTTTGAGCTTATTGGATGACTTTACATGAAGCGTGTGCTTATTGATGTGTGTGTGTATTAGTATATAAATGTTGGAAATTGAGCAAAATGCAGATGCATGTAAATGTATGTGTCTGTGCATGTGTATTTGTGTGCGCTTCGTAAGTTTTTATTATATAAACACTAAACACCATTCAGAGTTTGGAGTTTAGGGAATAATTACAACAAGTGTGGTGCGCATTGTTGTTGTTTTCCTGCTTCTGCTTTTCTATATATGAAAGTTATTGAGGGGGGATTGGCATTGCGGAGTTGGGGGTGTAAAAACTTTTTGCATCACTGCAGAAAAGCAGCGGCGCGAAAGCACTTGCCACTTGCAACCGACGTGCGATGTGTGCACAAAGAAGAAGGGAAGTGGGGCATGTGGCGGGTCCTTGAGGATGGGGAGGTGTAGAGCTAGGCTATGTCTCCTATAGGAAACTTGTGGGTGGTGACAGGGAATACATTTTATGATTATGAGTGGGTAGCAGAAGTGCTGCAAGGACTTGGATTCCAGAGACGGCTTTGGTTTTGGTTTACAAAAACAGAGAAAGAAAGCGCAGCTATAGGATACTGTGTAAATTTGACTGATGTCATTTCAGAGACAATTTCTCAAGAATGCTGATGCTGTGCAATAAATATCACCTCTAAGCAGTAGGTTACTCTGCAGATAATACTGATATCCTCTCTGCTCTTGTTATGTGTATCCAAGGTGTCCTCTTTAATTAATATCATTTAATCAGTTACAATGATTCTGAGTCTGAATGAAAAATTTAAGCATATGTGCCCAAAATTATCATCTTTTTCTATTCCCTTGCACATATACACTAATTTATACAGGGTATATTTAAGGGGCAAAATGTGCGTCCCACTTCTTGTTTGTGTGGTTCAAAATGTTTTAATTAAAACTGCAAAATTAATGTTGAAGCAGGATATGAAAGACCGCAGGACAAGCAGCCCCCTGTCATTCGCGCGCTCTCTCTCTGTCTCTCTATCTCTCTCTCGCTCAATCTTCTTAGCCTTCTTCTTTTCATTCTCATTAAAGTGCCAAAATGATTTAAGTGGGAAAGAATACAAAAATGCGTTTCGAGGAAAATCAATAGGAAAATCTGCGTCCCTTTTTCGTGAGCGCTTAAAGGAAAAGCTGTATGGCTTGCCAACTAATTTCAATAGTTATCCTTTTGACTGCTGTCCTGCACAAGCCCTGCAGTGTGTCCTGCGTATATTCTCTGTGTGTCCTGCTCCACGTAGCCTGATTAAACTTGTCACGGAATGAAACAAAAGATAAACAATCTGCAGTCGCTTGCGAAGTCCAATTTGATTATTTGCCAAAAACAGACAGAGAAGAGACAGCTGGAAAGGGAGAGTGCGGGGGGAGAGAAAGACAAGCACTGAGAGAGACAGACACATGTAAATATTCCACACAAAAAGGGAGAACAGCAACAAAGTTTTTGCTCGAACATTGAAATTAATCAAGAAAATAAACGCTTGGCGGCATCGAACCAAAAAGGGGACGACGCACTTTGCATGAAAAGCGTACAGCCCCTGGCAGCAGGAAATTCAGTGGTTGACTTCAGTCCTTGTTGTCGTTGTCTTTGTTGTTGGTGTTGCATTAAAATGACATCCCAATTTGCGTTAAGCAAATAAAATGGGACTAGTTGAGGCTAGTTCGTATGCTTCTTCTTCTTCGACTTCGTCTGTTTCTCTTAATAGAGGGTTGTAGCTAGCTGTGTCTAAAGTTTGCCTTAATTTGTTATTCTATTTTGAGCAATTGGCTTTAATTGGTATGCGGAATATGAAGAGAATCGTTAAGAAACTGTAAACAAAATTTGAATAAAATATTTGGATAAAATAAAAAATAAAAAATTATGTGAATTCCATCCATATTTAAAATTTAATTGAAATTCCCTTTTATAAAATTATTATTATTAATTTAAATCGCATAGAAAATTCTCAAGGCTTTTAGAACATTCTCTGTCGCAGACCTTTAAAATTTCCACTTCTTTTCACCTTCTCAACTGAGAGCCCTAGTGTTAACCCGCTCAACATTTGCCCAACTGCTGATAAATTCGCGCCAAAAATAAGTGGAAAAGCCGAACCTTTCGATAGCAAATCAAAGGTAAACCCAAAATCAATTCTTAACGGAAATGCCGCGAGCACACAAAAAAAAAAAAAAGAAGTAAACAGCCTTCAAAATAAAGCAAAAAAGCAAAGAAAGAGCGAAAAAATAAAATGTCCCTTTACTTCCGCATTTTAAGCGCCGTCTTTAGTCTTCATCTTGTTCTTCCTCTTCGTCATGCCTCAATACTGTTCCATTCTTTGCCGTGATATTTATTAACGTTTATTGAATTCGATCCAGCCACAAGAAAAAAACAGCAAAAATTGCTGTCAAATGCAACCCTTCGGACAGAAAAAAATCCGTTGCATTTTCCTTGATTTTTATTGAAAATGCGTAGCGAAAATTTTTTCTTTTACTTTTTTTGGGCAAGAAAATAGGTAAAAAAAAAAATGTGAAAAGAAACTCAAGGGTAAAAATTGAGGATCATTGTCAAGGATTACTAAAGATCTTGCACAGCTTAGCTGCAGAGCAAACGCACTTGTACACACACAACCTATCTATCGCTTTCTCCCTCTCTCTTTCACTATTTTGGTCTATGGCGCTGCAGTCCCTAGCAACCCCTATGCTAGGGCAATAATGTGCCTCAATAATGCGCAATTTTTTAATGTAAAAAGATGTGAAATTTAAAAATAGGCAAAAATCGAATTTTTTCTTGGGTTTGAACAATGCAATTTTTTACTTGCTATGGGTGATTTTTTTGGGTCTTTTTTGATAGTAGGGTGCGAGGGTAAGAAAGGTACATTTGATTAACTAGGGTTTTGTCTGTTGAAGAGCTAACGGAATTTTTGAGAAATTTTCTCACCATTTCGTAAAGATTTTGAAGCTTTATATAAATTTAAAAAACAACCCTTTGGAGAAAAAAATTTTTAAGTATATAATATACACATATATAAATAATAAAGAATATATATAAAAAATAAAAGCAATTTTTATTACATATTTATATATTATATAACATAAAATATTATTTTTATAAATCTGTCAATATTAGATACCTAAATATTTATATGTTTTTTAGCTTACGAGCAGACATTTTGTTTTAGCAACCCTTTATGCAAATTTCACCCTAAGATAAGCGTAGCCATTTTTTTTAAATATTTGAAAAACTATGAAAGGTATACGAAAGAAAAAAATTTGCATTTCAATGTTAAATCATTTGCTTAAGTTCATAGATTAAAAGTACACCTTTTCATAAAAGGATTAAAAATAGGAATAATAAATCTACAAAATTGTGAACCTAAATTTGTATGTTTAAAAAATGTATATACATAACCTCTATATATATATTATATATTTTAATTTGTATTTAATTTAAATATATTAGAATAAAATTGTTTAAAAAAAAAGGCGCGCATAAAATCTTTTGAGCTGCTAAACCAAATGGGATTCATGATCTTTGCTTTACAGCTTGTAAAGCGGTTTTATTGGATTTGGCCGCACCACCCGCTGTGTCTGTTGGCTTGGTCGGGTGGGTGGGTGCGTTCAATTGGCCATAAGCTGCTCAGGACCTGCACGCGGCACAGTTGGCATTGACACCCGAGTGAGCTTTCCTTTTTTTTTTTTTTGAGATTTTTTTTTTTTTTTTTTTTGGGGTGCGTAGCATGTCAAAGGTTAGCTCATGCAATTGTGGTTCCATTTAAGTGTATTTTTTGCTCGCCAGCCGCCCCAGGCGAACTCACCCATGAGCCACCCGCTGCCCAACCAGCCAACCACCCAATGAAAAGTGGTTTTAAATTCCATTAAATAAAGTTGTTCAAGGTTTAGTTGCTCGCACTTGAGAATTTTCACGCATATTTTGTTGCGCACTTTTGTAAAATTTATTAATATTTTAGTGATTTTAAATGGATTTCGTGTGTTGCTTGGCGTTACACAGTGTTTGTGTGTGTGTGTGTGTGTGAATGGGTGTGGAGTGTGTGTGCGTGTGTTGATGTGGTGCGAATAGCTGGAAAGGTATTTCGCATTGGGGTTAGGTGGACATGCCTTGACATGATTTCTATTAAGCGAATCGCTCGTAATTGAGTTGAGAGTTTCGATGTTAAAGGCTGGGAGGGTTTGCTTTGGCTTTTTTTTTTTTTTTTTTTAATGGAATTTGAAGGCAAATTTTAAAGTATTTGCTTATAATGAGTTAAAATAATTAAAATTATAATAATAATCAACGTATTTATAACGATATCATTAAGCATATGAATAGTTTGATTATTAATTAATAAATATTATTATATTCAATTATGGCATATTTGCCAGTCAAACACAAATTCCTAGACAACATCAATTAGCAAGCAAACTTACCTTTGTTCGTAGCTGCTGCTGCTGCTGTTGCTGGTGTTGTAATTGTTGTTGTTGCTGTTGTTATTGGAGGTGCGGCTGCTGCGGGTGTTGTTGTGGTGGGGCTGTCGGGGTTTCCAGCGCAACAAAGTTGACCATTCGGCTGCTCGTAAATGTGCGACTCCTTGTTCGAAGTGGCGGCAGCAGCAGCCAAGGCGATGGCTGTTGGTGGGCTGCTATTGTTGCTGTTGTTGTTATTGCTATTGTTGCTGTTGTGCTTGGGAGTTGCTGTCATGGCATTGCCATTGCCATCATAGACGACACCATGCCAATGATTTTTATGGCCATTCGACTCCACCTGCTGCTGCTGCTGCTGTTGCTGCTCCTGCTCCTGCTCCTGCTCCTGTGGCTCGTCCTTGTTGCTTGGCTCGGCAACATCTCTCAGTCGCTGCAGTTGATGCTCGCGTATGAGGCGATCCCGTTCGTGAAAATGCCGCACGAATTGCTGTTCGCCATTGTGACGTGGATGTTGCTGTTGCTGTTGTTGCTGTGGGGTTAATGACTTTGTTGCATAGCAACTAGCGCTGGCTAATGTCTCTGTCTTAGCATACGTTAGTCCGGGTAGACTATTAATTGTGCTTCCTGTTGCTGTTGTAGCCAGTGGCTGTCGTTGCTGCTGCTGTTGCTGCTGCTGCTGTTGTTGTTGTTGTTGTTGTTGTTGATAATGATGTTGAAACATAATTTCATGCAATGGTATCAAAAACTCTGGCAGCAATTTGTGCGCTTTCGCCGTGACGGCTGCTGTTTCGTAGCCAAAATATGGCAGACATGTCTGCGGCTCCAGGCCCGCGCCCACGCCCACACCCAGTCCGAGCCCGACGCCAAAGGGTGGCAACGCCGCCTGACTGCTAGCTGCCACATAGTTCAACAATTCAGCATCCTTATTGTTGTTGCTGTTGTCATAATTATGATATCCAATGGGCCGCATATACCAGGGACTCGGCATTGTTTTCGTGCGACAGCTTGCCATGGCTATAAATCAAGAGAGAAGGGGTATGAAAAGGGATATCATAGGGAATATTCGTAAGGCTATAGTGAATGACTAAACAAATACCCTGTAACTAAAATTAGCCTAGTTTTTTATTTGTGAATTCGAAAAAGTCAAGCTGCGATTAAAAGGGTATCATATGAAATATGTTTAAGGCGAAAAATGAACGACTAGAGAAATACCCTGTATATTCAATAATAGCCCGAGATTTATTCTGTATTGGTATGGAATATTAAAAGAGAGTATAAAGGGAAATACGTTTTAGGAGATGGCAAGCGACTAGACAAATACCCTGTTATATATGTATATGACTAGTTTAGACTTAAGTCTACGCTTGCAATAAATTCGCCATGTCAAACAACATTATTTATTTTAAGGGTGACCCTAAACCCTGCTTTAGTCGATTATACCTCTTTTCTTTTCACACCCAACAGAGTGTAAAGCACAATTGCATTTTTATTGACACGAAAATTAAGTGAGAATTTGCTATTTTTTAACCCAAAAAAAAAGGTGGAATGAAAGGCAAAATCAAGGCATAAACTAGGCACAAACTAGCCGTAAAAAGGGTTGAACATCATCATTAACAGCACTTGGCGCCCCAGCAACTACCCCTATTTAGATAGTCCAACCCTACCCAACCACCCTACGTGTCACTTAGCTAAACCAGCTGCCATATTCCTCGGCTAGTTGCCTCTGTGTCACTATCAATTACTCATCATTATTTTGAGCTACGCCTTTTAGGCATCAACATACAAAAAGTGTAGTGAAATCCACTGCATAATGCAGTGCGTATTTCAGGGGGTTGCACGCCATTTTAAAAAACTACAAAAAAAAAGCATGCTTAATTCATAATCAGTTTTTGAACGTCATTCGATTCGTTTATGACTTTGATTGATTATCAATTTTTGACAAATCAAAGTAAAAACTAAATTGAAGAAAATCTGAACATTTGCGTTGGAAGCGTGGGCGTTACGTGGCGATAAGCGTGGCTGGCCACGCCCATTTTGAATGAAGCAGACCCCCTGTTTTTGCTGGCTTGCAGCTCTATTAAGGAGGCAGCATATATGTTTTATATGATAAAGGGGCGTTACGATTTTGATTTATAATCAGGCATATCGTTATATTTGAAGGATAGATGAAAGATGTTATAGTGTATATATTAGAGATTGGAGTATATATGGAGAGTAGTATTTATATTTTTGGAGATAAATACTACCTATTTCTATTAATTATCAACCCATTCTTATTATTATTTTATTTTGTTTTTACTTGAATCTTTTATATATCAGTAGTACTAAAAACTTCCTGCATACTTTTGATTAAAATTCATACAACACTTGGCTAAATTACAATTCGAGTTCTATGAGTATATCCATGTGTGGTCTCCTAAAAGATGTTGATTAAAATATTTTCTATAGAAATAAAAACTGAGGAACTACCGTTGGCATAGTATAATAGAGAGATATACAAAGAGAAATAAATAGAGAAAGAGAGAGAGCGAGAGGGAAAGAGATATTAGTGCTCTAAAAAAAGTAGATTAAATATCGTAGAATAATTGAAAAATGTTAAAGGATCTTTGTAGATGCGGCAATGCTGTCACTTTTAGCTCCTGCTGCCGCCGCTGCAACTGCATTGCCTTCTCCCCCTCGTTTCCCCCGCAAATCGTTCGATTGCAACTCCTAATGTGTTTGCCAGCCGGTGCATGCAACAAAAGGCACAATGGATAAAGGATATTGCCGCAAATAGAAATCAAAGCGCATATAAGAAAGCAATAAAGGCAGTCAGCCAAAAGAAGACGAAGCAGAAGAAGAGGAAGAGGGTTGGCTAAGGTTGCCCAAAAAAAGGATGCGTGTTAATCGCCGTGTTGCAGGTAAAGTAATCGCAATGTAACAATGCCAAAAAATATATAGAGGGAGGCAGATTGACAGACAGAGAGAGAGAGAGAGAGAGAGAGAGAGAGAGAGAGAGAGAGAGAGGCAGAGCAAAGGATATAAACCGCCAAAAAAAAAAAAACGAGGCGGGGATCGTCTTTTGTCCTTTTGTTGACGCGCTCGATTTAGTTGGCGCAGCTTGCCTTAAGCCAGGACATGCAGCAGCAGCAGGAGCTGCAATAAATTGAGCCTGAAAAAAGGATTTAATTTTCAGTTTTTTAACTGTGGCCGCGCTGTGGCTGCCGGCTTGATGGAGACAGCTGCTGCGCAGGATGTGCTGCAATTGCAATTGCAACTGTTGGCAGCTATTTGTTAAAGCTACACTGAGCGAAAACTTATTGAGTTGAAATTTTCAAAGAACTTTTCTAAAGCAAAGTTTGATTGAAATTTTAAAGATTTTTAATATAATAATATTAGTTATATACATATACATATAGCCATATTATTCTTTATAACTAAATTTATGTTGGGTTTTAAATTTTGAGTATTTAATATAATATAATATAATAATATAATTTTTGTAATAAAATGTGTAAAATATTTAGTCTTTTATTAAGATATAAGAACTGTTTATATAAACTATATTCTTCAAGATACAAGTAATATTTATAGATTATCTATACGTGTATTGAGATCATATGACTTGTATTCTATCAATAAATAGAATATGCTCTTTTTTTCTATTGCAATCCAACTTGCCTCTATAAGCTGTGTGCCCGATTTCAAGTTTTACAAATTCTCAACAAGTGCCTAATTGATTTTTCTGCGTGTAGAACACGTCAAATAGATTTTTTTGGCACAATGCGCAACTTTCACCTTTCGATTCATATTTCTTCATCAATTGAAATGTTTTCTTTTCTGTTTTCAGTGTTTTGTTTTTTAGCCGTATTGCCCGACAGGACTCTGAATCTTGACTGGCACCGACATTGAGCTCCTTTGACAGCCGGAGCACAGGGCGTAATTAAAAGTCAGCACAGCCACGCCCTAGTTTTCGAATTTTGTCGAGAGAGAAAACGAAAATCACTTTCCCCCCTTTCGCTTCCTGGTCGCGATTTCCATTTCATAAGCCGTGGCACACTTTTCTCTAGCAGCTGTCTCGGCCTGGCGAAATTTCCTGTCAACCCTCGCAACCCTTTCGCTATTTGTGTTTGTAGTTTTTTTTTGCATCTTTAAGAAGCGCGTGTCGGGCACACGACACGCCCTCCTTTAGGGTTAAATGTTAACTAATATGCTCTTTATTATGCTGGAGAACAAAAATTTGTTGTTGTCGCGTGTCGCCGTTTGTCGTCTCGACTTCCTGTTTCAATATGCGATTTAACCGGCCAAAACTAATTCAGCTTTGTTCTAGCTGACCATAAATCAAACGAAACATACCATAACACAACTCTATTAGAGCTATATATATATATATATATATATATATATATATATATATATATATATATATATATATATATATATATATATATATATATATATATATATATATATATATATATATATATATATATATATATATATATAGCTATATATATAGATATGTGTGTTTTGTATCTACTCTCATTATTCAAAGTTTTCTACAATAATCGTTATTTTGGTCTAATGAACATTTTGTGGTTAGCGCAACTCGATTTTGGTCTTTGATATTTCGGTATTTTCCATGCATCATTAGCCACTGGACTTTAAAGTCCAAGTTTTTCATTCATGAAACGACGATTAGAGCTGAGAGATTAGAGCTTCAGCTGCATGTGAGTAGGGTTAACACAAATCAAATGAGATCAGAGCCAAACAGTAGCTGATGATGCCTTGACCATGGAATGTATTGTGAATGAGAAGCGCAAGCAGAGGTGAAAGAAATGTTAAGTTAATGGAGACGATCAAGCTATATGGCATATTTTAGGTATCAGAAGCGCAAAGAGGGGCGCTTGAAATACTGGGTTGAAAAAGAGTATGAATGGAATCGTATACAAGAGCTATAGGGAACTTTGACTGTGTTAATGTATGAGAAGCGCAAAGAGAGGCGCCACAGATGTAGCAATGAACGGGAGATAGAGAGATAGAGAATGAATGAGAATAGAAACAATATAGAGAATTACCAAATAGAAATTTAAATACTAAATATAATCAAATAGTTTAAAGGTTAATCGAGAAGTAAAATACATAATTGATTAGAATGATTTCTATTAATAACATAAAAATTGCAAAAAATGCAAAAAAAAAAAAAAAAAAAAAAAAAACAGAACAAAAATCCAAAATATTTATAATTTTAATTTACGTACTTCAACTAAATGTTCATAATGTATCAATTACCATTCGCATTTTTTGTTAGAGGCGAACAAAAATGACAGCATGAAATTTGACATCAAATACCAAAAGCTAAAGCAAAAATTCATTTCGATATATTTTGCATTATAATTACGGCTATTATTTAGAATGGGGTCATTAACATGTGACATTCGACTAAAAATACAAAATAAATTTGAGCCCAGCTAAACTTTGATCTATAATTAGAGATAAATTAGGTTAAAAACTTCACCAAAAACAAAACAAAACAAAGCCCAAGCGAACGCAAAACAAAATAAAACAAACAAAAATCAAGAGCAGCCTGATATGCCAAATGTGATAAGAGAACGAGGTAAAGTGTTTAAAATAAAGACTAAATATATAAATTAATTGGAGAATGTGTTGAGAGTCGAAGAGAGCGCAGATTTCGTTGAAGATATTCGCTTAAATCTGATTTAGAACAACAATAAATTTTTTCCAGCAGCCTAATTGTGGTTTCTGTGGTGAGTTTGAAGAATGAGTTTAAATTTGTAAAATACCAAAAAACGCAACAACAACAGCAACAACAAAATCAATGCGTCAGCTGTGCCAAACTGAGCGTGGAGCAGTGAGAGTTGGCAGCTGTGCTGCCAGACTAATAGATACCCTTTACAGCTTGCTCTAAAGTTCAATGCTTACAAAAAGGTGTGATAAGCTTGCTCAGTGAATTTAAATACTTAAAATATATAGTTACATTTTTTAATTAAAAATTAAAAATTACCTGCATTTAA